TAGTCCCTGCATTGAAAATTCAGGTGGTTTTTCATCAATATAGTAAATTGCAGTTCGACCAGGATCCAGATCCAGTTGTTCCCCATCTACTTTCAGGTCCATTCTCTTGGAATGAAATAAGGATTCATCTTTAACCTATATTGAGAAGAAAAGCAATTTTATTTTTTAAAATATTTTTTTCCTTTATTGATTTTAGAGAGAGAGGAAGTCAGAGGGAGAGAAAGATAGAAACATTGATGAGCAAGAACCTCGACTGGCCACCTCCCGCATGTCCCTCACTGGGGATCGGGCCCACAACTTGGGCACGTGTCCTGACTGGGAATCAAATCAGCGACCTCTTGGTGCATGGGTCGATGCTCAACCACTGAGCCACACTGGCCGGACGAGAAAAGCAATTTTAAATATTGAATACTATAATGAAGTCCCATGTACCTATCACCAGATTCAACAATATAATCACCTGACTGATCTTATTTTACCTGTTCTCCCTTCTATCTTCCCCACCCCACCTTCCCCAGACCAGATTATTTTGAAGCAAATCCCAGATTTCATCTAAAATAGCTTATAAGCTATAAAGCTTAATGTTATCACATTAGTTACACAGCATTTCTCACATATATCTTATTCATGAAAATAACAAGGAAAGGCTATACACAAAAACCAAATAACTACCAACGAAGAGGTAATAGATAAGAATTATGTGAAGAGCCCTGGCCAGTTTGGCTTAGCAGTGAGAGCGTCGGCCCATGACCAGAGAGCCCCGGGTTCAGTTCCTGCTAAAGGCATGTACTTCGGTTGCAGTTTGTCCCCAGTTCTGATTGGGATCGTGTGTGTGGCAACCAGTCGATGTGTCTTTCTCACATTGATGTTTCTCTCTCTCCCCGCCCCGCCCTATCTGAAGATAAATGCAAAAAAAAAAAAAGAATTATGTGAAGATATTCTAGGCTGAACAACTTGATAAAAAGGCATAAATAGCCCTGGTCTGTTTGGCTCAATGGTTAGAGCGTCAGCCCACAGACCAGAGTTTTGGGTTCAATTCCCGATCAAGAGCATGTACCTTGGTTGCAGATTTGATCCCCAGCCCCTGTCGGGGTCAAGCAGGAGGCAACCAACTGATGGGTTTTTCTCAATATTTCTTTCTCTCTCCTCTCCGTCTCTCCCTCTCACTCTATCTAAAAAGCAATGGAAAAATATCCTCAGGTGAAGATTAAAAAAAAAAGGTGTAAATATACAAACAAGTAAGAAAGGTGCATGAAAGTGACAGGGAAGACACATTAATTACAGCACAAGAACTACTAGAAAAACAGTTAAGATATGGTTGATCTACATGGAGAAACAGATGATGAAAGATCTTGAATCCACTGAGGCATGACAAACAACATTACATTTTTAAACACAAGAATAAAACAAGGGAAGATTATACTCACATCTTTCTCAAAATAATAAGCCACATCAGCTATGTCCACATCATTCTGAGTTTTCTGAGAAGAATTTTGCACCAGATCAATAGTGATAATATCATTCTCATACTAGGGGAAAATTGAAAAAAACAAAAAACAAAAATGAATATTAACCAAAATCATGAAAATATCATTGTTTAATAATTAGAACTTTTATAATAATTTAATAATTCACTGTTTGCTTTTCTATAATCTATACGCATCAGTGTTGTTTCAACTAGTAGATAGTTGAGTTTATCATTAATAATTAAAATAAAAACCTTTGGCCCGGCCGGCGTGGCTCAGTGGTTGAGCGTCGACACATGCACCAAAAGGTCGGCAATTGGATTCCCAGTCAGGGCATATGCCCAGGTTGTGGGCCCAATTGTCAGTGGGGGGCTTGCAGGAGGTGGCCAATTGATGTTCTCTCTCATCGATGTTTGTCTCTCTCTACCTTTCCCTTCCTCTCTCTCTCTAAAATCATTAAAATAAATACATAAATAAATAAGTAAATAAGTAAAAATCTTTGGGTCCTGGCTGGTTTGGCTCAGCGGCAGAGCATCGTCGTCGTCCTGCGGACCAATGAGTGGCTGGTTTGATTCCAGCCAAGGGCAGGTACCTTGGTTGCGGTTCTTCCCCAGTCCTGGCTGGGGTCCTGTGGGAGTCAACCAGTCGATGTGTCCCTCATGTTGATGTTTTTCTCTCTTCCTCCCTCCCACTCCATCTGAAGATAAATGGAGGAATGTCCTCAGGTGAGGATTAAAAACTAACTAAATAAATAAATAAAAATAAAAATCCTTGGGAGGTTTTAAAATCTATCCAAGGGAGCTAAGACAACAATACAATGATAATTACAATGTATGTCTTCTTTACCAAGAGAATTTTCTTCTCCAGAAAAGATTTTAGAATAAGATATTAAAGCACCGTATTTGGTTAAAACTACTTTAAATAAAACTAAAATGCTAAAGAAGTGCAACCCAAAATGCAGTATGCATTTACCATGATCTGCTGTTAGGAAGCAAAAAAGTATATTCCTTCCAAAAAGTCTCTAAAAAATATCAGTTTTAACCTAGAGGAATTTAAGAATAAATTCATACTGCTTTGAAAGAGTTCCATCACATTATTCAAGCAATTTTCAGAGTTGAAAAAGTTAAGGAAGGGCTAACTGGTTAAGGAGTAGCTCCTGAAACCAGAGGAGATGGGAGGTAGGGGCCCAAAAGTAAATATGTGTCAATAGCAATCACAGAGAGAAGTTTTCCATGGTAAAAAGACTGGCATGTGTTTGGAATACTAAGATACTATATTTTCTTTAAAGGTAAATTGAGGTTTCCATAGGCAATAGAAGACAAACAAAACAGGAAATTTGCTTTATGAAGTGCCCAGGGCTGAAACAACAACTCAAATGCAATTTAATGAGTACCAAAAACCAGACCCAAACCATACTGCTTCACCAACTTTCTGCTAAAGCTCATTTATTTAAAAAACAAAACAAAAAACCTTACCAGAATATTTGTGATAAATTTTGAATCCAGTTGATAACGAGTTGTGATTATCTCCTTGAGTGCACTGTAAATAATTAAAAATCATGTATTTTTTAAAAAATGGTTGTACTACACAACATTAAGAAGCACTACCTTTTTTAAAATTGATTTTTAGAGAGAAAGGAGGGGAGAGAGAGAAACATCGATTGGCTGCCTCCTGCACATCCCCTGCTGGGAATAGAGCCCACTACCTGGGCATGTGCTCTGAGAATCAAACCAGCTACCTCTTGGTGCATGAGATGACACTCAACCAACTGAGCCACACCAGCACGGCAAGAAGCACTACCTTTTTTTTTAAATCCTCACCTGAGGATATTTTTCTATTTATCTTCAGATAGAGTGGGAGGGAGAGAGAAGGAGAGAAAGAGAAACATCAACGTGAGAGGGACACATACTGGTTGCCTCCTGCATGACACCAACCAGGGCTGGGGACGAACTGCAACTGAGGTACGCGTCCTTGGTTGGAATCGAACCCGAGACTCATTGGTCCGAGGGCCGACTCTACGCTGAGTCAAACTGGCCAGGGCGAGAAGTACTACTTTTTAACTAAGCAGATAGCTCAAGGCTTGGAAATGTCATTAACCAAACTTATTGGAAATTGTATGCCATTTTGCAAATATAATAATTGATTCATGCCCAGCCGGTGTGGCTCAGTGGTTGAGCATTGATCCATGCACTAAGAGGTCACCGGTTCGATTTCCAGTCAGGACACATGCCCAGGCTGTGGGCCTGATCCCCAGTGGGGGGCATGCAGGAAACAGCCAAATGATGTTCTCTCTCATCGATGTTTTTATGTCTCTCCCTCTCCTTTCTAATATCAACAAAGAAAAATAAATAAATAAATAAATAATTGATTCAGGCTAGAATCATTCATTTGATGCTAAACAGTTAAGTTCCACTTTGATTAGAAACAGGGTATCAAGCATCTGCCTACAGATTATATTTATTAATTAAAAAGAAGAAAAAGGCCCTGGCCGGTTTGGCTCAGCGGTTAGAGCGTGGGTGGCAACCACTCAATGTGTCTCTCTCACATTGATGTTTCTCTCTCTCTTCCTGCCCCCCCCCCCCACTAGCTGAAGATGAATGCAAAAATGTCCTCAGGTGAGGAAAATAAATAAATAAATAAATAAATAAAAATACATAATTGTTTAAAAAAAAAAAAAAAGAGGAAAATGGGGCCCAGCCAGTGTGGCTCAGTGGTTGAGCATTAACCCATGCACCAAAAGGTCACCGATCTGATTCCCGGTCAGAGCACATGCCCAGGTTATAGGCCAAATCCCCAGTGGGGGGCATGCAGGAGGCAGCCAATCAATGTTCTCTCTCATCCATGTTTCCATCTCTTTCTCCTCTCCCTTCCTCTCTCTCTCAAATCAAGGAAAAATAATAATAATAACTATCTTGGAGAAACCTGGCAACACTACCTTAACCACAGTTAACACCAATACAGGGACAAGATGACATCATGTCCTTCCTGATGCGAATACTCTGAAGTACATAATATCACTTAAGTGATTTTTCTGTCAAAATGTATAATCTGCTTGCCAATGTGGCTCACTGGCTGAGCATCAACCCATGCACCAAGAGGTCACCGGTTTGATTCCCAGTCAGGGCACATACCCAGATTGTGGGCCAAATCCCCAGTGAGGGGCATGCAGGAGGCGGCCAATCAATGTTCTCTCTCATTGATGTTTCTTTTTTTTTTTTTTTATCCTCACCCGAGGACATTTTCCCATTTCTTGTTCAGATAGAGTGGGAGGGAAGGAGAGGAAGAAGAGAGAGAGAGAGAGAAACATCGATGTGAAGGGACACATCGAGTGGCTGCCACCCGCACGACCAACCAGGGCCGGGGACAAACTACAACCGAGGTACGTGCCCTTAGCGGGAACTGAACCCAGGTCTCTCTGTACCGCAGGCCGATGCTCTAACCGCTGAGCCAAACCTGCCAGGGCTCATTGATGTTTCTATCTCTCTCCCTCTCTTGGTCTTTCTCTAAAATCAATTTTTTAAAAATTTAATTAAAAAAAGAAAAGTATAACTTGACAGTCACTATATTAAGATGATGTATGTATCCCAGACCTAGTTCCTTTCCTAGGACTGGTTTTATAAATGCTGGTGATAAATCAAGAAAAAGAAAAGAAAAATGTATACCCTGAACTAAATTAGAAGGAAACACCACACAAACAAACTTTGAGGTACGCTCCATAACACAACTTGCCCAGCCCTGGCTGGTGTGGCTTGTGCACTGCAGGGCCACAGATTCAATTCCTGGTCAGGGCACATACCTAGGTTGCAGGTTCGACCCCAGTCAGGATGCACAGGAGAGGCAACCGATCGAATGGAAAAAAAAACAAAAAAACTTGCTCATATTCTTCAAAAATATCACAGTCATGAATGACAAAGAAAGGCCAAAACAGTGTTCTTGTTAGAAAGAATAAACAGCCATGACAACTAAATGCAATACATGATCTTAGACTGGGTCTTGGGTCAGAGGATAAAAAATTGTTACAAATTGTAGGACAACACTGGGAAAACTAGCACAATATGGTAACTAAAGTTCTCTGAATTTGGTAATTTTACAGAGGTTATGTAAGAGAATGCATTTTGTTTCTAAGGAAAGATATACCACAGTATTTAGGAGCATGATGTCTACAATTTATTCTCACATGGTTCTGGGAAAAAATATACATGCTTAGATAGATATACAAAGCACACACACATATAAAGAAAAAATGTGGCAAATATTCATTGGTGAATCTAAGTGAAGGGTACCATAGAAATTTGTACTATTTTACAACTCTATTTTAAAATAAGGCTTAAAATAGTCTGCATAGTATCTTTTTAAAAAATACAAAAAAGCACTGAGACGTGTTTTAGTTTTTCTAAAGTAGGATGGAAGATCTGAGTATTGACTGTGCAAATATAATGCACTGAATAGTACTTACGTCTGCAAACTTTGAATATCATAAGGTTTTTCTCTTGTTTTGTGTTTTAGTTCAATAATGATCCAGCTGTAAAGTAAAAAGACAGTATTGACTATCGGGACTTTTACATTTTTAAAAATTTTATTCAATGATTTTGAGAGAGAGAGAGAGAGAGAGGTCTATTGTTTCACTTATTTATGTATTTACTGGTTGATTCTTGTATGTGCCCTGACCAGGAATGAAACCTGAAACCCTGGCATTGCGGGATGATGACCAGTTGAGCTACCCAGCCAGGGCTATATTATTTTCTTAATAAGCTAGTAGAGGTAACAGAAAAAGGATTTATGCAGTAGACATGCCTTTAATTTTTTCCTTGGCCCTCACATATCTTTCGTAAAGAACTCATCTAGTGGCTCTCTCTGTGGAGCATGCCCACCCTTCCCTCCCCTTCCACCCCTCTCTCTTTCTCCTAAACTCCAAGGGCCCTTCTTTTGCCTCTATAACTTGTTTCCTGAACCTATTTCTATGACTCACCTCTTCTACCTCTGTAACTTTCTAAAATAAACTTTTCCTTGTATTTGAAAAAAAAAAGAACTCATCCAGGAGGGAAAACCCTTTCTAACACTGACCTTCCGGCCTCTGGCCACAATACACAAGGTTATGTGAAGTCAAGGCCTGTTGGGCCCTGGTCAAGTGAAGACACAGAAAGGCACTGAGAGAAACCAAAAAATAATCCTGAGGCTCCAGAAGACAAAATCGTAGAGAGAGCCTATCTTGGTCTTGATACCTTTTCAGTTTCCAGTTCTTTCCAATAAACGTTTTTGCTTATGGTAGCCTGAGTGTGTTTCTATTCTTTTTCATTACACAATCCCCAAGACAACCATATCTCACTTTAAAACACTATAAATGAGCAAATATATAAATAGCTTAAATCATTCATATACATTTAATACTAATACAACTTTAAAATACTGAACAGTGTGCCCGGCTGGTGTGGCTCAGTGGTTGAGCGTCGACCCATGCACCAAGAGGTCACCTGTTCAATTCTGTCAGGGCACATGCCCAGTTTGTAGGCCTGACCCCCAGTGGAGGGCATGCAGGAGACAGCCAACTGATGTTCTCTCTCATTGGTGTTTCTATCTCTCTCCCTCTCCCTTGCTCTCTAATGTCAATAAAAAGGGGGGGATTAAAATACTGAACAACGTTAAGTAAAAATATAAAAGGAAAATTATGTTTCATATGCTACCATAAGAAAAAAATAAAAATATAGCCCTGGCCAGCTTTGCTCAGCAATTAGAGCATCAGCCTGTGGATGAGAGAGTCATGGGTTGGATTCCGGTCAAAGGCATGTGCCTCAGTTGTGGTTCAATCCTGGCCCTGGTCAGGGTTGTATGGGAGGCAATCAATCAATATGTCTCACATCAATGTCTCTCTCTCTCTCTCCCTTCCCTCCCTTCCTCCCCCCTACTCTATCTGAAAAATATCCTCGGGTGAGGATTAAAAAAAAATTTGCTATAAAAATTCATAAAATTGTCCTGGCCGGTTTGGCTCAGGGATTAGAGCATCGACCTGCGGTCCAGAGAGACCCGGGTTCAGTTCCCATTAAGGGCATGTACCTCGGTTGCAGTTTGTCCCCGGCCCTGGTTGGGTCGTGCGAGTGGCAACTACTCGATGTCTATGTCTCTCTCTCTCTGTCTCTCTCTCCCTTCCTTCCTCCCTCCCACTCTATCTGAACAAAAAATGGAAAAAATGTCCTCGGGTGAGGATAAAAAAAATAAATAAAAATTCATAAGATATCTCTGGAAGGTTGTAGGGTAAACTGGTGACATCAGTTCTATGGAGGTAGGCTGGGTAACTGGGGGACTGAGACAGGATGGGAACTTTTCACCGTATCCTCTTTTCTATCTTTTAAATTCTAAATCATTAAATTGTACTACATATTCGAAGTTTAATTACACAAGTCTGAAAAGCATGAAACAATATAGGCAGCCCAACTCACTAGGTCCTCACTCGTTCAGAGCAGGCTTTTTCAGTGTCCTTATCGGTTCTTCTGACCCCAGCAGTGTTCACACACCAGCACGTGGTGGTGCCATTGCACTGTTTGGCTTTAAAGTGTCCATTCTCATCACAGTCAGGATCATAGAGTCCGTCATTATTCTGAATAGCGTCGTCGGGTTTTGGTCTTCTCCCAGACTTTGAGTGAGACATTTCTGCCTTCATCACCAAACATTTGGTAGCCACTACAAAAAAAGCGTAACGTCATACTGAAAAGTAACTGCAGTTTTATGCTTAAGAAAATTTTAATTTACCTCCAAACTCCTAGGGCCATTAAAAGGCTTCCCAACTCAAAACACACTGAATAAAGAAATATAAGTAAAAATAAAGTTTAAAAGCAATGAAGATATTCTACTCACATTTTGAGCAAATGACGGAATGTTGTGTACCAATTGAAGTACACTGGCATTGACCTTGAGTGTTCATAGAGCAGTTTGTGGTCAGTTTGTAATTTTCACAGACACATTCTAGGGGGAAAAAAAATCCACTTTAAAATGTGAATCCATGTCTGGCCAGTGTGGCTCAGTGGATTGAGTGTCGTCCATGGACTAGAGGTCCCGGTTCGATTCCCAGTCAGGGCACCTGCCCAGTTTACAGGCTTGATCCCTAGCAGGGGCGATTCAGGAGGTAGCTGATCCATGTTTCTCTCTCACATCGATGTTTCTATCTCTCCCTCCCTCCCTTCCTCTCTCTTACAAAAATCAATCAAATGTGAATCCAACTATCAACTCCGGTGTCCCAGCTAAATTATGTTCTGACAATAGTGCCCAAGTTACAAGGACACAAAGCCACAAAAAGTGGTCCTGAATGTTCTATTTTTCAGCTATAATTAGAGTAGCTGACATAATCTGTACAAATTATATAGTCTAATTTGCACACATTCTGTTTTGATTTTTTAAACCAAGAATACAGCCCTCCAAATACCATATTCAGATTAGCCCTTCCTGTTCTGCTAAGCCCTTTCCTGTCAGTTACCTCTCCCCAAAATTAGCAATTCTATTCCCTTCCTTTCTACCCCATCTGATTGATTTTCTTATTAAGAGATGCTTGCTTTGGGGCTTAATGGGAACATAGTCAGCCCTGGGACTATATTATATCTTAGAAAAATTATACTTTCCAACTTTGCTGTCCATTCTGAGTACTGATGTCAGTTTAATAGTTATATCCTTGACCATCTCAAAAGTAAATTTAAAAAAATTTTTTTAATTTTCTTTATTAACTTTAGAAGAGAGGGAGAGATAGAAACATCGATAAGAGAAAACATCAATTAGCCGCCTCCTGCATGCCCCCTAACTGGGGATTGGACCCACAACCTGGGCATGTGCCCTGACCGAGAATCGAACTGGCAACCTCTTGGTGCATGGGTTGATGCTCAACCACTGAGCCACACCAGCCAGGCTCAAAAGTAAATTTTAACTTCAAATTGGCAAGTCCACATAATTTCTTTCGCCTGGCTAAGAGAGTACAATCATTAAAAACAAAAAATAGTATAACAAACCAAAGAATTTTAATATTGATCCTTCATGTCCCAAGTTGGCTTTAATTTTTCCCTGTTTAAATGATAACAGTAACAACCTATATAATCTGACCAGCACTAAATTCAATGTTAGGGTCACAAATGGAGAGAGTATAGTGATTATCCTCAAGGAGTTAAAATCTTATGCAGCACTATACCTGCTCAAAGCACATTTTTCATGTCCAAGCAAAGTCAAACTTAAAACAGACCAATCAGGTACAGACTTTCTGAACACAGGCCTATAGCAGCTATCATCGCTTTAAAGTGATTTAAGATTTCAGTATTTAACCCCAGATGGAATGAAGAAGACCATGAGTTGGTTAAACTGCATTATTTTGAAAGTGTAATTACTTAGGCTATGCCCTGCTGGTAAGGGTATAAAAACCTTTCCAGAAAATTTTGGTCAACTGCCATATCACTTCTGCCCACCATCTTATAGATGATAGTAGCCAAGATGTTTATCACAGAGTAAGAAAAGCTGGAATCAAACTACAAATTGGACATTTGCAAAATGGTGTGACCTTCCATGATACAGACTGTTCTGTCACCATTTAAATAGTGTTTTTCAAGACCAAAGAAAATGGAAAACTCTGGATGTGATATGGGTGGTGTGGAAATCAAGATATAAA